CCGACACAACCGTTCGATACGGGTGCGGACGCCCTCCTGGCAGGGCGAGACCGTGGCGCGGACACGAGCCTCGGCGGGAGCGAGGCTAGGATGACCCAAAGTGAGCCAGTTCAACGCAATAACAGAATACTGCGCGAGCGTCCGCGCCGCGCGCCGCAATCTCCAGCGCTCCCTGCGCCTCGCCGACAAGCCGTCAGGCGGGGGACCAAGAGGTGGAGCAGGCGGGCACGGCCAAGGATCGCGGGGAGGCGGCCCCAAAAGGTACGGGTCGTCCCTGTCCATTGCACGCATTGATGAGCGGGAGAAAGATCCAAGAGAACATCGAGCACCCATCCCAACCTGGGACAGCGCTGCCGCCCAGTGGGTGATATCAATGTTCGCGCCTGGAAACAGGCGCAGCAAGGCAGACAAGTCAGCGACAAATGGCGCGACGTTGGCAAGAGCAGCAGGGGTGCTTGAAGGAGAACAAGCACCAGCAAGAACACCAACCTCAGGGGCTGCAGGCCCCATGGAGGGAGCGCTCGACTGAGGCAGGCGACGGCCAAAATGGCCGAATGGATCCGAGGAGCGGTTCGGAGCAGAGCGAGGGGCGTGGTGGCGGAACGTACTCCTCCCTGCGGGGCCGCAACAGCATCGCTGGAGGAGCGCATTCCTACCCTCACGCCCTCGCTGCGCCCAAACACGCCTAGCAGCCGTAGCAGCGTCGGTGCAGACTGTCTGCGGCGGCGTACCCCGGCCACGCGAAGGCCCCCCCTCCAAGAAGGCGGGCGCCAAGGGCATCTTCAGTCCTTCTTGGGCACCGCCTTCGGGGCCTTGGGAGCACCCTGAGACTTGAAGGGGGGCTTTGAAACCTTGGGCTGCTTGGGCTGATGAGGTGGATGCTTGGGAAGCGCGACGGCGCGCTCGGCGTCGAGGCGCGCCCGAAATGCTTGCAGCTCCTTCATGTATTCGCCCTGCGCCGACAGCCAGCGAGGATCCACTAGGGGTGAAAACGGGGTCTGGGCCTCGCGCTCCGTGTGACGACTGGTCACGCGACACGGGGGAGGCTCCAGCCCCGTGAGGAACCAAGCGGCCTCGAGGTAGCCGCGGTCCCCCGCCAACTGGTCGATGAACATGCACTGGCAAGTCAGCAAGGTCTGGACCCTCTCGGGGTTGCCCTCTTCGCAGGCCCGCCACAGCTCGGCGCTGAGGAAGGCAAAATGCGTCAACAACTCGTGCGTCGACGGCTGAGCCCCGAGGGGGCTGTGCTCGCGAAAGTACTGATGCATGGCCATGGGGGTCACGGCGCTGACTTCCACGCCCAGAACGCGGGCCAAATTCTCCTTCATCAGTCCTCGCACGTCGGGGCCGTGCTGCATCAGCACTTGTTGCCACTCGCGCCTCCGAGCGATTCCCCCCATCTGAGCCGATGCGTGCGCGGGGTCGCCTGAGGTCGCGGGCGGAGATTGAGCTTGGTCGCTCAGGGTCCCCAGAAGCGGGTGGAAGGCTGGGCGATGGCCCCGCCCCTGCTGCAATGAAAGGGACTGGTGCAGGCACTGAAGCATGAGGCTGAAGTCCGTCGGATTGGCCGCAAGGGGCGGCTCTAACCCGTCGGC